TGGTGCCTTGAACCAAAAAAAAATAAATTAATTAAAATACCAAATACAAAAGATAGATATTCAATACCGAAGGAAATGGATAGTATTTTAAAATCAGAGTGCTTATCAATCAGTTATTATAGTGCTCATCCAATGTCTTCGAATATGTGTGTTTGGGTCATGTGTGCGACACATCCTACTATATTAGAAACAAAAACCTCCATTTCAAACACCTTATATGATTGCCACGTGGCATATAGAAAATACTAAATTGCCCTTTTGTCTAAACCATAACTAAATTACTAAATCTCCCTTTGCACTTTACGTGACACGTTTTTTTTAGAGTTTGATCAATTAGGTTTTTGTTACAAAGTATCAATTTTATTTTAAGCGTATACCCTGCGGATGAAGCTTATTACAAAGCTATTAAAAATCTCCAAAACTAAGTATTGATTTGGCACGACCGAACATCAATAAATCATCTTACTAATATTTAAATTTATTAGGATACTTTTATATTTTATCTAACATTTACTTCAATACATATATTCGATTAAGGCTATTTATATTTAATAAGTAACACTTATAAAATATTTCTATAACTTACATGGCGAAATACATATTCCTTTTTTTTTTTTTGTGAAATACAATTATTTCTATGATCACACTTATAAAACATTTCTAAATCCTTCAAACATTTCTAAAATATATCGCTCCAAATACAAAATTTTATTTTTTTTCAAATATAAATATTTTTAAGATTTACAGATAGACTGGGCCAGAGTCGCGCATTGCGCGACCAGACATCACTAGTATCATTAGATAAGAAAATCATTTTGAAAACAGCTAGATGTCCAAAAGAGCACATAACCATTTTCAAAAAAGCAAAAAAAAAAAAAAAAATAGCAATACAGAAAATGGATGAACAACACCAAATGGAGAGTTATGCTTGTATTACTGCATAAAAAAAAAAAAATAGCAATACAGAAAATGGATGAACAACACCAAATGGAGAGTTATGCTTGTATTACTGCATATCCATCAGTTCTGTATTGTTTATCCAAAAGTTTATACTACTTATCCATTCGTTTTTACTACCTATCCATCCGATGTAATCCACCTTAACAGTGTGACTTCTATTCTTTAACCAAATTCAAACCAAATTCAAACGAGATTTACAAAAAAAATACACTAATTAAATACAATTAAAATTTCTTAAAATGCCATATACATCCAAAAGTGTGCCATAGGACGTTCGCATTTACACTGTTTACTATACATATCACGCCGATACATGTAACTATTACATATTTGTCTGCATATTATATATATCTCTATGTCTAACATCCTCATATTCTTCAATCTGTCTGGTCGACGTTCACCTACAATTTTCTAAAAAATATATAAAAAAAAAACATACAAAAAAAAAAAACAGATATGACATTTAGTAATAAATTAATATGGAAATAACACTAAATTCAATCCGCCAACCAATCTCGAAATCAATTTGCCAGAATCTCCATGCAGAAAGCTCACGATCCCTATAACTCTAAGCATCTCATTGAACCAATTCTGTTTATTTTTTATTTTTTATTTTTAGATAAACCAGCGATTGATTACCAGTTTTTAAGCAAAAACAGTGAGGTGATGAAAAATGCATGCCCAAAGATCCTGTTTGCATTTACAATGCTTAACCATGCTTAAAAATACTCGATGATTGTCGGTTAATCTCTGAAGTGCTTATCCATCCTTTTTTCTGCTACTTATCAACCAATATTATAATGCATACCCAGCAGTTTTATAATACTGGACCATTTTACTGACTATCCATCAGTTTTGTACTACATATCCACAAGTTCTGTAGTGCCTTAAACCCCAAAAATAAAACCAATAAAAAAAGGATGAATATTCAATACAAAAAGAATTTTTTTCTGGTGAAAATGTAAATATATTGATTAGACTTTTAATTGTATATTTACAACCACAATTTCTCTATTATGAATTACCATACCTAACAACTATCACTGGCATACCTCTTGCAATACTAAATTTTCTGCTTCTGTTTTCCTTCTATCTATACCACTCAGAACACGCCATTCCATTTCCTATTTAATTACATTCATTAGGTGATACTAGTTCTACTCTTCCCAGCTAAACTTCTAGTGTTCCTTTCCTCCCACAGATGGTAGATCAAAGCCGCCCTTGAAGCAAAAAGGAATTTTCTTTTCATCTTGACATTCCTCCACAATCGCAGAATCTTCCTCCTCCACAAATGTTGCTGCCCTAGCATCTTAATCTGCAACCATTGATTCACTAACAGCAATAGGCTCTTAGCAAAATCACATTCAAAAAACAGATGCTCAGCTGTTTCCAAGCACTGTTTACAGAATACACAATAACCATCATCCTACAATGCCACAAATTTACTCAATCTGTCCTTAGTCATCAAACGATTTTTACAGCAAAGCCACAATGAAAGCGTGCTTTGGAATATTATACCTGGACCATACAAAAACAGCTGCTGCATTCCTAGATGTTTGTCCCATCAACCACATATAACCTGTTTTGATAGTATATCTGCCAGAAGAGAGATGTTTCCATTTACAACCATCAAACTCACCTTTTGCCCTTTCTTTTAGTTTTAAGATCTGCTTCCAATGCCAGCTGGAGTCTTGTTGGGATTGCCAATCCCAGAAATCTACCCATTTTATATTCACCTAATGAACTCATTTGATCCACAGGTTATCAGCTTTACAAGCTATGTTCCAGACCTGCTTCAATAATGCTGCCTCATTCCATTTCATGGCATCCTGAATGCCAAGTCCTCCTTCCTCTGGTTTGCACACCATAACGCAACTAACTAGTGGCCAACATCTTCCAAACTCTTTAATCCCCATAAGTATTCCCTGCGAATTCTGTTTATTTGCTGAGTTATACTTTTAGGAAGAATAAAGGCATGTGCCCAATAAATCTTTATCGTCATTAGAACAACATTGATCATTTGCAGCCTGCCAGCACAACTTAACTTCCGAGAACTCCAGCATTTGATCCTAGCTGCCATCTTTTGAACTAGAATCTCACACTCTGTTTGATTCCACTTCCTTGGCGATAGTGGAACGCCAAGGTATTTCATCGGGAGAGCGCCTTCTCTGAAACCAGTAATACGACATATTTCTTCCTTGCTCTCAGCAGACACACCACCAAAAAACACATAAGATTTCAATGGATTAGGAACAAAACCAGAAGTAATCAAAAACACCGTTGAAATCTCCACAATCTTCTGAATGGTGTACTTATCAGCCTGACAAAACACCATCAAATCATCTGTGAAACAGATATTTGTGAGTTTCATTGACTTACATTAGGGATGAAACTTAAACGGGGGATCAAAATCAGTCTGCTTCAACTGCCTTGTAAGATCAGAAGCAGGGGATCATGACAAATAACAACGGTGACATAGGGTTACCTTGTCGAAGCCCTCGTTGCCCTCAAAAATAACCACAATTCTCCCCATTCAATTCAACGGTATAAGAAGTAGTTTTCACACACTCCATAATCAGCTGAATAAATCTAGCAGGCAATTTATAACCCTCCAACACTTCTTCCAGAAAAATCCATTCCACAGAGTCGAACGCTTTCTTAATATCAATTTTAAACAAACACCTCCCACTTATGTTCTTCCTATCATAAAGTCTTATAAGTTCCTGTGTCCATAATACATTGTGCAGAATGAGCATGTTTCTCATGAAAGCACTTTGATTAGAATCAATAATCTCAAGAAGCACAGTCTTAACCCTACTACTGATTATCTTAGAAATAACCTTATAGACTACATTACAGCAGGCTATAGGTCTGTACTCACTCGCATTCTGTGGCGTATCAGTTTTAGGAATTAAAGCAAGAGTGGTGGCATTTACCTACTTAAGCAGCTTACCCTTCTCAAAGAAATCTTGTACAGCTTTAACCACATCAGCACCAACAATTGGCCAAGCTTTCTTGAAAAAACCACTACCAAAACCATCCAGTCCCGGGCTTTTATCTCTATGAGTCCCCCACATTGCAGCCTTTACTTCCTCAGGACTCACCTCTTTGAGCAAGGCAAGTTGTTGATGCCAATTTACCATAGGCCCCATATCAAAAACTGAAGCTTCTGTACTTTCCCTGTTACTCTTGCTGCCAAGCTGTCCCTGAAAAAAATCAATAAAGTGCTGTTGAATAATCCCCCAATCTCTGATGATATCACCAGTTGAGCTTACTATGGAGGTGATTCTGTTCCTCATGGCTCTAATCCTCATTTAGCATGGAAGAAAGCATTGTTGGCATCTCCCTTCTTTATCCAATGTTCCTTAGCTTTTTGTGACAAGCAACTCTCAACCGTACCAATAAATACTTCTGGTATAGTTCTCGTTCAAACCTTTGCAGATGCTCATCACCTGGTTTAGCATGGACTTGTTCCTAAGCATTCCATAGTTGTTCTTCCACCTCCTGAGCTTGAATCTGAATATCAACAAACTGATCCCTATTTAACTGACGTAATACAGACTTTAACTTTTTAAGTTTCTTCACTGACTGGAACATGCTGGTGCCCTGTACTTCATCTCTCCATATTTCTGCCACAATCCTATTAAAATTCTCCGACAAACACCACATGTTGAAAAATTTAAATGGTTTGCATAGCTTCCTAGACTCACCATTTACCTGTATGTGCAGTGGATTGTGATTAGACTCACCTTCAGGTAGAACTGTAACTAATGAGTTCGAAAACTTCATTATCCAATCTCCATTTACCAATGCTCTATCTATTCTGGAATTAATACACCCCGCTCCTATTTGTTCGTTTGTCCAAGTATACTTATATCCTTCTTGCATTAAATCCTATAAGCCACACTCTTCCACACACCGTTGTTTGTCCAATCTTTCATAGTTTCTTTACCTCCATTTGCTTTAAGGGGCTGTTCAGACCCCTTATATTCCAGTATAAGATACTTGTCATTGAGAAACAGGATCCTGATCAAGCTACCTTAATGTCCCATCACTGATGGACCAACATCTTTGTCTCCATTTGCAACTCCCAAGATAATATCCTGTATAGTTTCCTCTTCCAATGCTGACAACACCTGAAAATCAGCAGCTCGATTACCCCTTCCTTTCTGATATATCTTTGTATGAGTTCCATCACTCCTCCTTAGAGGCCCCGGAATCTGATTATCCTGTGTGGCCAACTCTGAATCGTACTGACCTGTAGTCTGTGCATTCTCCTGCTGCTTTCCTCTTTTCACCACTCTCCATTCATAAACATCTGCTTCTTTCTTTTTCTGAACATCAGATTCACTTGCCTTGCTAATCTTCACATCCATTTTCTTCATACAATCCTCACTTCCATGGCCATAGTTATTGCAACGTCTACACTGGGTGGGTCTCTACTCATAGAAAACAGCTTTTTCCTTAACCATGCCGCATTCATCAACAAACTTTGTAACTATTGGTGGTTTATCTTGGATCTCTACATCAACCAAAACCCTGACATAAGCTACTCTTATCTTTATAAGTAGTAGGCTCATATGCAACAATTGTTTTCCCCAACGTACTAGCAATACGTCTTAATGTATCCAGATTCCAATATTTCGATTCCAATCCGTAAAACTGCAAACACACCGGCACATGCTTCACCTCCTTGTGATTCAGTCCTTTTTCAGCTAACCAAGGCTTAATCACAACTGGATTTGGCCCCATATGATAAACGGGGGTTTTTAGAGCCTCATCCCTAGCACCTATTGATTCAAATCGAATTAAGAACCGACCAGATGGAAGAAAAAGTACCTTCTCCACCCCCAAATTCTTCCATAGTTGTTTGTAAAATCGTTCCATTACTTTTATCGGCAGGTTTGCTCCCAACACAAAGCTCACCACTAGCTGCTTCCAATACTCAGCTTCTGGCTCAACTGCTTTTTTTGCACCATTGCTATCTTCCTTCCTTCAACCTCCTCCGGTGGAACTTATGACAACGGAACCCCCACCTTCTTCATCTGCTTTGGATCAAACTTGTTCCAGACAGTTGGTGCCTTCTGCAAATCCCCTTCCTTATCAGCAGACCAATAAAGCTTCCTCGACGTTTGAACGCCAAGAATCTGACTGAGTGTTGAAGCCTGCGCACCAATCCCCATCGCCGTTCTACATCTGGACGATTCCCCTTTTTCCTGAGATACTACTTCTTTCGCCATCATCAGAACACTCTTCTCACCTTTCGAATCTACTGACGGGACTTTCAAATTCGATGGATTGACTACTGGAGTAAGCTTAGTTTCCTTCGACTCAGGCTTTTTCTGTGCTCTTCTCCCCCTAAGTTTCACTTTTGCCATGACTGGTGCACATTAGTACGCTAATCTGCACCGAGAGCAAAACCTAAGAGAGAGAAAGAAGAGAGAGAGAGAATAATCCTCAACTTTTAATACAAAAAGAAATTGATACCACTTTTAACAAAAAAAAAAAAATGAAGAATCAATAAGCAGCACTCACATATGTTTCTGAACACATTTAATTGTAACTCTGTTACTAAAACGATCAAATTATCAACATCACACTTAAATGAAACCTATATCGATGACCCATTATAGCAAAAACCAAGTTTTGTCCAAAATTCCAAATGTCACATTATCCCTAAAAGTCTCCTAATCCAAAATTTAAAAAAAAAACCCAAAAAAACAGACAAAAAAAAAGATGGCCACTACTTAGTTTTCCAAAAATAAAAATTCTCAAAAAAAACTGAACAAAAAAAAAAAAGATGGAAATGAAAACTGAACAAAGAAAAAAAAAAGAAGATGGAAACCATCTCTATAGTAATCTATCTATCTATAACCCCCATTACAGCAAAAAATCAAGTTTTGTCCAAAATTCCAAATGTCACATTATCCTTATAATTTCCCTAACCCAAAATTTTTTTAAAAAAAAAAAAAAAACCCCAAAAAACAAAGAAGAAAAAATACGGCCACTACTTAGTTTCCCAAAAATAAAAATTCCAAAAAGAAAAAACTGAACAAAGAAAAAAAAAAGATGGAAACCATCTCTATAGTAATCTATAATCTATAATCTATCTATAGCCCCCCATTATAGCAAAAACCAAGTTATGTCCAAAATTCCAAATGTCACATTATCCTTAAAAGTCTCCTAACCCAAAATTAAAAAAAAAAAAAACCCCAAAAAACAAAGAAGAAAAAAGGCGGCCACTACTTAGTTTCCCAAAAATAAAAATTCTAAAAAAAAAACTGAATAAAGAAAAAGAAAAGATGGAAACTATCTCTATAGTAATCTATCTATCTATAATCTATAATCTATAACCCCCATTATAGCAAAAACCAAGTTTTGTCAAAAATTCCAAATGTCACATTATCCTTAAAAGTCTCCTAACCCAAAATTTTTTAAAAAAAAAAAAAACCCCAAAAAACAAAGAAGAAAAAAGACGGTCAATACTTAGTTTCCCAAAAATAAAAATTCCAAAAAAAAAAAACTGAACAAAGAAAAGAAAAAATGGAAACCATCTCTATAGTAATCTATAATAACCCCCGTTATAGCAAAAACCAAGTTTTGTCCAAAATTCCAAATGTCACATTATCCTTAAAACTCTCCTAACCCAATATTAAAAAAAAAAAACCCAGAAAACAAAGAAGAAAAAAGACGGCCACTACTTAGTTTCCCAAAAATAAAAATTCCAAGAAAATAAAAAACTTAACAAAGAAAAAAAAAAAGATGGAAACCATCTCTATAGTAATCTATCTATCTATAATCCCCATTATAGCAAAAACAAAGTTTTGTCAAAAATTCCAAATGTCACATTATCCTTAAAAGTCTTTTAACCCAAAAATTAAAAAAAAAAAACCCCAAAAAACAAAGTAGAAAAAAGACGGCCACTACTTAGTTTCCCAAAAATATAAATTCCAAAAAAAAAAAAAACTGAACAAAGAAAAAAAAAAGATGGAAACCATCTCTACAGTAATTCATCTATCTCTCAATAATAACCCCCATTATAGCAAAAACTAAGTTTCATCCAAAATTCCAAATGTCACATTACCCTTAAAAGTCTCCTAACCCAAAAATTAAAAAAATAAAACCCAAAAAACAAATAAGAAAAAAGACGGCTACTACTCATTTTTTCTCAAAAATAAAAATTAAGAAAAAACTGAACAAAGGAAAAAAAAGATGGAAACCATCTCTATGGTAATCTATCTATCTATCTATCTATCTATCTATCTATAACCTACATTATAGCAAAAACCAAGTTTTTTCAAAAATTCAAAGTGTCACATTATCCTTAAAAGTCTCCTACCCCAAAATATCAAAAAAAAACCCAAAAAATAAAGAAGAAAAAAGACGACCACTACTTACTTTTCCAAAAATTTATAACACCCATTACAGGAAAAAAACAAGTTTTGTTCAAAATTCCAAATGTTACATTATCCTTAAAAGCCTTCTTACCCAAAATTAAAATAAAAAACCCCAAAAAACAAAGAATAAAAAAGACGACCACTACTTAGTTTCCCAAAATTTAAACTTTCAAAAAAAAATTGAAAAAAGAAAAAAAAAAAAAAGATGGAAACCATCTCTATAGTAATCTATCTTTAACCCCCATTATAGCAAAAACCAAGTTTTGTCCAAAATTTCAAATGTTACATTATCCTTAAAAGTCTCCTAACCAAATATTAAGAAAAAAAAACCCACAAAAAACAAAGAAGAAAAAAGACGGCCACTACTTAGTTTTCCAAAACTAAAAATTCCAAAAAAAAAAAAACTGAACAAAGAAAAAAAGAGAAAGAAACCATCTCTATAGTAATTTATAATCTATCTATAACCCCCATTATAGCAAAAACCAAGTTTTGTCCAAAATTCCAAATGTCATATTATCCTTAAAAGTGTTCAAACCCAAAATTTTTTAAAATAAAAAAAAAACCAAAAAACAAAGAAAAAAAAAGACGGCCACTACTTAGTTTCTCAAAAATAAAACTTCAAAAAAAAAAAAAACTGAACAAAGAAAAAAAAAAAAGTTGGAAACCATCTCTATTGTGATCTATAATAATAACCCCCATTATACCAAAAACCAAGTTTTGTCCAAAATTCCAAATGTCACATTATCCTTAAAAGTCTCCTAACCCAAAATTTTAGAAAAAAAAACCCAAAAAACAAAGAAGAAAAAAGACGGCCACTAATCAGTTTCCCAATAATATAAATTCCAAAAAAAAAAGAAAAACTTAACAAAGAAAGAAAAAGATGGAAACCATCTCTATAGTAATCTATCTATCTCTATAATAACCCCCATTATAGCAAAAACTAAGTTTTGTCTGAAATTCCAAATGTCACATTATTCTTAAAAGTCTCCTAATCCAAAATTTTTTAAAAAAAAACCCCTAAAAAACAAAGAAAAAAAAGACGACCACTACTTAGTTTCCCAATAATAAAAATTCCAAAAAAAAAAAAACTGAACGAAGAAAAAAACGATGGAAACCATATCTATAGTAATCTATAATCTATAATAACCCCCATTATAGCAAAAACAAGTTTTGTCCAAAATTCCAAATGTCACATTATCCTTAAAATTCTCCTTAGTCAAAATTAAAAAAAAAAACCCAAAAACCAAATAAGAAAAAAGAAGACCACTACTTAGTTTCCCAATTAAAACTTACAAAAAAAAAAAAAAACTGAACAAAGAAAAAAAAAAAAGATGGAAACCATCTCCATAGTAATCTATCTATAACCACCTCTATAACTCCCATTATAGCAAAAACCTTGTTTTGTCAAAAATTCCAAATGTCACGTTATCCTGAAAAGTCTCCTAATCCAAAATTTTACAAAAAAAAAACCCAAAAAACAAAGTAGAAAAAAGACGGCCACTACTTAGTTTCCCAAAAATATAAATTCTAAAAAAAAAAACTGAACAAAGAAAAAAAAAAGATGGAAACCATCTCTACAGTAATCCATCTATCTCTCTATAATAACCCCCATTATAGCAAAAACTAAGTTTCTCCAAAATTTCAAATGTCACATTATCCTTAAAAGTCTCCTAACCCAAAATTTAAAGAAAAAAACACACACAAAAAAAACAAAGAAGAAAAAAGACGGCTACTACTTAGTTTCCCAAAAATAAAAATTCCAAAAAAAAACTGAACAAAGAAAAAAAAAGATACAAACCGTCTCTATAGTAATCTATAATCTATAATAACCTCCATTATAGCAAAAACCAAGTTTTGTCCAAAATTCTAAAAGTCACATTATCCTTAAAAGTCTCCTAACCCAAAATTAAAAATAAAAAACCCCAAAAAACAAAGAAGAAAAAAGACGGCCACTACATAGTTTCCCAAAAAAAATTCCAAAAAAAATGAACAAAGAAAAAAAAAAGATGGAAACCATCTATAAGAATCTATCTATCTGTAACCCCCATTATAGCAAAAAAAAAGTTTTGTCCAAAATTCCAAATGTCACATTATCCTTAAAAGTCTCCTAACCCAAAAATTATAAAAAAAAAACCCAAAAAATAAATAAGAAAAAAGACAGCCACTACTTAGTTTTTCTCAAAAATCTATAATCCCCATTATAGCAAAAAATAACTTTTGTTCAAAATTCCAAATGTCACATTATCCTTAAAAGTCTCCTAACCCAAAATAAATAAAAAAAAAACCCAAAAAACAAAGAAAAAAAAAGACGACCACTACTTACTTTCCCAAAAATCTATAACCCCCATTATAGCAAAAAACAAGTTTTGTTCAAAATTCCAAATGTCACATTATCCTTAAAAGTCTCCTTACCCAAAATTAAAATAACAAAAAACAAAGAAGGAAAAAGACGACCACTACTTAGTTTCCAAAAAATTAAACTTTCAAAAAAAAAAATTAAACAAAGAAAAAAAAAGATGAAAACCATCTCTATAGTAATCTATCTTTAACCCCCATTATAGCAAAAACCAAGTTTTGTCTAAAATTCCAAATGTTACATTATCCTTATAAGTCTCCTAACCAAAAATTAAAAAAAAAAAAAAAACCCCACAAAAAACAAAGAAGAAAAAAGACGGCCACTACTTAGTTTTTCAAAAATAAAAATTCAAAAAAAAAACTGAACAAAGAAAAAAAGAGAAAGAAACCATCTCTATAATAATCTATAATCTATCTATAATCCCCATTATAGTAAAAACCAAGTTTTGTCCAAAATTCCAAATGTCACATTATCCTTAAAAGTCTCCTAACCCAAATTTTTTTTTTAAAAAAAAAAACCCAAAAAACAAAGAAAAAAAAGACGGTCACTACTTAATTTCTCAAAAATAAAACTTCCAAAAAAAAAAATGAACAAAGAAAAAAAAAGGTTAGAAACCATCTCTATA